AAAAAAAAAAAAAAAATGATTCAGGGAGCTCAAAACATATGTTCTTTCCCAGTGGCATCCAAAATGATGATCACTTCTTCATGGACTAAACCGTCTTGTGCTCGATTTCTACAGAGAGGTGGTAAGATTTTCCATAGATGAGCCAGAAAGGGCTCATGCCCAAAACTCCATTTTATGTTGTTTGCAGTATGAGTGAGAATGGGTCGGTACGGTTCAAATATTGACAAATCTCCAAAACTGTATCGAAGTTCAGAGATTACTAAAATTCAATCTCTGGAACCGTACCAAAAAATAGGTTCGGTTCGATTCAGATATTTTTATTTTTCAGTTTGATTCGGTTCGGTTCTAGGGACTATTAGAACAGTTCAGTTCTGTTAGCTTCAGTTCATATATTTGGAGATTTTTAATTATTTTTAGAATTTTTGAATGGCCGATTGTATTTTAATTTTTTTTTTAATTTTTTAAATCCAACATTCATCAATACATTATCGTACTAAAGATTTTATTTTTAATCAACCAGAGAAATAACTCTACATTTTTGTTAAGACTAAATTTGTGAAATTTACATTGAAAATTTAAAATTCAAACAAAGTATAATATAGTTTTTTTATTAAAATAATATTTCTTTAACCTACCATACTATGTTAGTTATAAGATAGAATAAGACTAGTATCGAATTGAAGTAATGTTTAAATATTTTTTTAAGAATAATATTTCTTTAACTTCTCATACCATTTTACATATATTTTTCTTAAACAAGGAAAATTCAATTGTAGATCTCAAGTATTACTAAACATGAAATTTAAGTGAAGCTTAATTGTTATAACAATATTTTATTTCCATTTAAATTTTTTTCAAATTATATAGAATCAAAGTTGACATAAAATATATTAATATCACACATCTATATTTATAATTCGGTTCTTCAGTTCGGTACGGTACGGGATGGCTCGGTTCGGTTCTCGATACGAATATTTGTAAAATCTCCAGAACCGTACCAATTATTTTTTCGGTTCGGAGAAAGTCAAATGGTCAACGGTATTTTTTGGTTCAAAGTGATTTCTGTTCGATTTTCGGAATGATTCAGAATTCTCCGAGTCCCATGCTCACCCTAGTTCATAGAGCCCCTAGAGTATCATTGAGCTTGTTCGACCAATCCTTCCTTGACGATTTCACCACTTTCTCCAAAATGGTTTTTATTTGCTTGTTGCTCGTCTACGCTTGGCCCGAGGTTTGTAGGTTATAGGGGGTAGCTACTTTATGCGAGATGCAATATTTTTTCATGATTTTTTCAAAAATTCAAT